ACACACACACACACACACACACACACACACACACACACACACACACACCCCGGGACGACTTAAGAGTTAAAGGAGACCCATTTTAACGTGCTGTGGCCAGACGAGGACGCAGCGATGAGCTTTCCAATAGGCGCTGGCAGTGTCACTTAAGACATTGCCTCCTGGTATTGGGATGATTGTACATTGGATCCACCGGTTCATCCTTGGGCCGGAAATAGGGAAACACATTTTGTTAGGTTTCAAGGGGAGGGATCGCTGTACCCCTTCACATTCCATTACTTTCTTGCCTCGACTGACTGCTCATGCTCATTCTACACCCCACCCCCAACAAATATTTTGAAATAAGTTGAACTGGCTCTAATTTTCATATGACAGTATCGAGCAGTCAATTCACAGTGAAAAAACATGATCTTAAAACCATATGTCAGCCGGGCAGTGGTGGTGCACGCCTTTAATCCCAGCACTTGGGAGGCAGAGGCAGGTGGATTTCTGAGTTCGAGGCCAGCCTGGTCTACAGAGTGAGTTCCAGGACAGCCAGGGCTATACAGAGAAACCTTGTCTCGAAAAACCAAAAAAAAAAAAAAAAAAACATATGTCTGACTCAAGCGCCAGAGAAGTCTGTTCTTGTATCCCTGTGTCCCTATTCCCCACAGATATCAGTGTACCTCCAACTTTTAAGTCTTTTCTGTTTCCTGAGTTCTCTGAATACACTTTTCCTGAAGATTTTGTAATTACTTTATTACATACATTTTTAAAAAAAATATTTTTGACTATTTTAAATAGGCATGTGGGCGCCTGCGTAGGCCAGAGGTGTCTGTTTCCCTGAAGGTAGAGTTATAGGCAGTTGTGGGTTGTCCAGTGTGGGTGCTGGGAATTGAATTTAAGACATTAAGACATGTCTCCAGCTCCCCCTCTTTTTTTTTTTTTAAACTTTATGCTTCTCATAAACCAGCTCCTGGCCATCGAGGGAAGCTTCCTGTTCTTTCTGTGTAGAGCTGTGCGGGAACCCAGGGCCTTGCGTGTACAGGACAAGGCTCCTAGGGAGAGCTACATCCTCAAGCCCTTAGGATTTTGCTCCAGGTTCTCTACAGGTTTTCTCAGAGTCCCAAGTGTTAAGACAGAGGCAGATGCCAAGCACACCCAGGGCTCCATTACTTATTGTGGAGTTATATTTGTATTCTTAAAAGTTAATGTCAAAAAAAATTTTTTTAAAGGAAAAAAAAGAAGTCGTTTGTATCCCACTAGTCCAGCTATCTGTTGTCTCTTTCAACCCCCTTGGTTGTCACTCAGCGAGTTCGTCTGGGCCTTGCACTATGCTCTTTCTTACTTCAAAACAGGAAATAAGCCACATCCCATCATTTTTGCCACGTATAATAATAATATCTTAATTGTTTTGGCAAAAATGATGAAAAAAAATCATTCTGTAATTGTCCTTGGAAATACCGGTAGCTGTTATTTAGTAGGGTTCATAATTTGCTTCCAGTATACATTGTTAAGAATAGCCAGTATTGTCTCAAAAGTTATAGAATAACAGGTACTCAAAGGCCTTTCCCCCCTGTGCCTTGCTGAGTTAATCTAACTTTTTGGTATCTGACACTAATAAGCACCGAGGTCTCTGATTCTGAGATCACCTTACTTCCTAGGAAAACTAACCACTGTTACTGAAAAGCAGAGCTTGGCTAGCCTCCTTCCTGGACCTTTCATGGAGCAAGAGGCTGCTCAAGGGTTAGCACTAGGAGATGCGTGCGGTGGTCACATCTCATCCAGCTGCCGGTGGTGGTTGTCTTTGGGATCCTTGCCTCATTCCCAGTAGTTCTGATTTATGGTTGCAGTAACAATGAAGAGAAGAACTGACCCAGAATGCACTGCCCCTCTCAAGAAACAGAAGCGGATCGGGGAGCTGGCCCGGCACCTCAGCTCCACATCTGATGATGAACCTCTCTCCTCTGTCAGTCACGCAGCAAAAGGTATACTGGGCAAGTGGTCTGAGGCCTCTGGTTGTTTGACTCCTTAGTGCTTGGATTGAGCAGAATGTAGTTCACTACCCCTTGGGCAAAATTAGCAAATTTGACAGAAAGGTGCAAGCTACATAGACTCTTCCATTCTGGTGCTCTTCTCCTAGTAAGAGTAGAGAAACTTGTTTTAAATTTTAAAAGGTGGGGCGGTTCTGGAAGTGCCTTTGATCTGTTCCTGGTCCTTCAGCAGGTGACCCTCTCACTGCCTTAAATCAAGTAGATTTAAGAGTAGAAGTGTTGAGCATTGAAGGCTGTGCTTTTAATAGCTATTAATAATTAGGGAGTTCCTCTGGGGACTGTGGTGGGGTGCAGCTGCCTGGTCTGACTTGGGTCCTTGCAGAGTTTTCTCAGTTCCTTCAGCAGTTTTAATCAGAACTGCCCAGCTGTGGGGGAGTGTCTCTGCCTGCAGTTTATCTCCAGATCAAAGATTTGGTGGAAAGATACTTTGTTTGGCCTGTTTTAACATTGTGAACATTCACAGTATCTGAATTCACCCCATGTACCAGACAATTAGAAGTACTCTGTTCATACTAACTGACAAGCCAGCTTCCTTCCTTCCTTCCTTCCTTCCTTCCTTCCTTCCTTCCTTCCTT